ACCTATATATATATCGCTGACTGTGACAATAGAAGGCAACAGAAGCTGCGCTGTGGCATCACTTGGCTTAAAAGCGGCAAAACCCTCGTGACCCCTCCATGTTCCAACTCCAGGGCACCACACGGGGCCCTGCAGGTCCCGGCCGAGCAAAAGAGATGGGCAGCACTCTCAACCGATTTACCGAGATAGTGCAGTTCAATTCCGGACGGACCCGTGCAAGGTGGTTTAAAGGGATCGGTGTCAGTTACTACGCCGACTCCGGCGGATAATGCAAGATATTCATGGATTTCTGTGCGCTTTAACCGACCTCACTGCGAAATGTGAATTTTTTGTTTCAACTCATTGGTGTTTTTGTCCCAATAAATGCCTTTCATTAATATCACAGGCCAAATTAATGGAGTCGTGTTTCTCAGGTCTCGTGGCGTTTTTGCCGAAGTGAGGTGGATATCTCCGAACAGTTTTGGCCATTTATTGCAGCGTTTTTCGACTTAAAAGGATTTATTGTAAGGCTTAGATTACCAGCTTTTAATTTCATGCCCTTAAATAGCAAACTGAACATCATTTAATAGCCCAGCTGCCGTAACATCGTTGCACTCCGGATACCAACTAATGGCCATAAATCCAACCATAGGCGCCTCTGGACAAGTACAAATGAGTCCTCATTCTTCATACTCGTGGTGCCCATCCCTGTACAGCTTCCTTTGTAAAGTTTCCAGGTCTGTTCAAAACATGAGCGCAAACAGAAAATTTACGTTCTTGGCAAATACGTCAAGAGGAGGCAAACCTTTTAACCCAATTGTAGAGTTTTGTGATGTCCAGCCCCCAACCTGAACGGGGAGGTAGACACATTTCACTGAATAGTTAACACGTTTCGGACGCTGAATTGTGAGCGATTCTCCCATTTTCATTGTCATGAGGCCGTGCTAAAGTGTAAATAAAAGGCCGTCTATAGTTGATGTGTGGCTGGTGGTGCAGGCTGGTGCGACTTTGCTTGTCGTTTCTCATATCCCGGCATTGTTAAAAGACGATTCCAGTAAAGCATTCATACGCTTCATGTTACACATTTCTATACATGATTTGTCGTATAGCTAGGTTGTAACATAAGGTGCTTGCTATTGGGCATCCAAGACTGGTGGGTGCGGGATTTGTGCTCTTGCAGACACATGGCTCATGATGGAAGCAGCTAGTCCCAAGCTGTTGTACCTTTTATTTTTATTTGGCCATGAAACGGGGGTAAAACGAGTTCCTCCAAAAGCTATTTTCGTTTTGTCATGGTGGCGTCGTACTCATTATCTCATTTAACCCAGCCACAGTTGTGGAGTACCAAATCCCCTGCCGTACATGGTACCCGCAATCAACGATTTTTCCATCACTGCTGTGCTGTGCTTGTTTTTCGCAATCATGTGCATGATCTTTTATCCGGGGTGGAATTTCGCCTGTTTTGGTCATTGAAAAATATTTTTGTTCAGATCATTCATATTTTCGTGTGATTTTCGACATCATGCTGGCTTGTGTTAAAAGATGGGCGTAGTTTCGCATAAGGTTTGGTTTCGTTGCTCGGAGTTGTTCTGTACTTAATGATCCTACAAAGTTTTGGTCCCAAGACGTGCCCAATCGGGCTAAGAGGCGAGCGCCGCTCAAAAATTTTCCTTTATGGCAGCGTATGGGTCCGCAGCGTCAAGGAATGGCGCGAAGGTGACAATATGCCAGGTGTTCGCGATTTTTTGGAATTGCAAAACCGCCTTTTTATCAGAAATTCTCGCGCGTTCGTGGGAGAAAGGAAAACTATTCTGGGACACCCAATGCCTGTCAGCAGTAGGCAGGTTATTGGTGGAAGTTGGGCTCAAATGACCAAAAGGTACAATATGTAAGTTTATTTGGCTTAAATATCTCATTCATGCATGCCGTACGTGAAAACCCCCGTTATCGTGATTGTAAATGGTATGTTTTTGTTTGCATGAAAAACACTCAAGCATGTATACACAAACTCGACACTGCTTTTGTGCAGCTTAGGCAGCTGTGGCGTAGTGATACACAAGTAACTGCGGACTGTGTTGACCAGTGAGCGGGACTACAGGAATGAAAGTAGCACGGTTTCCCAGTCATTCAGTAATCATTGATCCTGATTCTGAGGCATGGGTTGCGTATAAACAAGAAAATTTAAGTGCACTTCACCCTGCCAATAAAAGTCGAGCGCAGTGTATTGCTGTGTTCATATAAATGACCCACCTGACCACTGCTCAATGAAAGCAGGCCAGACGGTAGCCATTTGAGTTGCCAATCCTGACTTTTTGGTGAGATGTTGGCGTAGAATTGTTCAATTTGTGCGGCCTGGTGTACTGGTGTGATCTGTACAGAGATCATGCCATCATTGGGTTTTCTGTCATTGGGCCCCTTGCGATAAAATTTAAAAACCTCCGTAAGGGTATTATGAATAGCAAGACACGGATTTTTGGAAGGGTTTTTTGCTTATGTGCCAGTGAGAAATGTGTGATTTTGATTGTTAAAATTTTGGATCCGTTCAAACCCGCCAAGTCTGGCCTACAACCCGACCAAAAGTCTGCTGGTTCTTGTTGGACCAGATGTAGTGGGTTGGCGGGTTGAAAAGTTGCGTTCCTAGTTTACTCGTGGTCACCTATCCAAAGCGAGTACACTACACATACATGATCTTCTACTATACAGATATTATCGCACGTACGTATGCACACTCATGTAAAAATATGCCGTGTAAATTCAGCAATATCTGACCAGGCCACGCTGGAAACAACATCCACGAGGTTTGTTAATACATTTGGGAATTATAATGCCTTTTATGTATTATGTGCGCTGTGCCATAGTCTGTACGGTTATTTGTAGATATGTCCCTATCGACCTATGTTTTTTCGTCTCGTAAACGTTCGTTGTGGCGTAACTCGAGGGGCATATGGCCATCCAGAAAAGCGCTGTGTGACGGCATGTAATTGGCGCGGGGAACATTATGTTTGGGAAACGAAGCGTCCAGTCAGGCTGCGCTTCAACGAACATCTGCCATGTGCAACTAGCAAAAGGCCTGACACAGGTACGGGGAAACAGTTCTCAAACGAAACAGCCAGCTCATGGCGCGACACGCGCATAATAGAAGCCGCCATTATCCAGGAATGACTGACGAGGCAGGTCTTAAAATGGCGGAGTCCGTGCTTGTCATAGGAAGCACAGCCACACTCAATATGCAGCCAGTATCTTGGCCTGTTCCCTCCCCGTCTGAACACCGACAGCCCGCCATGTGGCTGTTCGTGGCCGCTGGGCCTGACGGAAACCTCCTGTATTTACGTATGCTTATCTTCGGTTGGTGTATGCATGCATGCATGGATCATATTTGGTTCATGTGGTATAACTTGCTTAGTATAGGAAGACGGCATCATGTCCGCTGGTCCCCGCCTGCGGCTCCCACGTCCTGAACTCGAATCCCGGGCTGTGTAATGCGCCCTGAGCGCTCGTATGACCGCGGTAGAAACCGGCGGTCGGACCTGGCATGCCGAGAAGTCGTTCTGATTCATTTTGTATCCTAACAATATGCATATTTGGCTTGCATCTCAGCGCACACTTTCATCTGTAAGCCTGCAGCCACGCGTGCTGACCGAATCTTCTCGTACTGGGCGGCCTAACCACCGCCCCCTTCTTTGCCCCGTCCCTCTTACTTCCCACCCGTTACCAGGCCCGGTAATAGCTTTGACAAGGTGGCGGGGACAGCGGTCATAGCCGGCGGCTGCCAAAGCCTGATGACACAGTGCGCACTGGACAGAATGGGCCAAATTTACACATCGCGTTACAAATTTAGGACGGCACATTTGAGTCTCATAGTACATGGCTATACAATGAGGGATAGAAGAATGGAAGTGGCATCCGGGAAAGAGAAGCATTCGCGCGCAGCCCATGTTGCAGCCTGTAAGTGGCGTCACGCGTCATTAGAGCGTGAAACAACCACCAGGAAATGTTTCACATGTAAAAACATTGAAGCAGGCATCAGATATGATGAAACAAGCTCACGTATAGCTATTGGTATACTTTGTAAGTGGATTAGACTGCTCTAGACAGCACAGTTCCCTGTTTAGTAAATATGCCTTTCAATGCGTCGTGGTTTGATTTCGTCATCGTACCTTGCACAACATTGTTTGAAAGGTGATTGACGGCCGTTATATCTGGAAGTCCTGCTCACGACGCTAGATATGAGCACATTGACAATTGTATTTTTCCTCTGTTTTGATCGCCGCATGGCTTATGGAGCGACGGGATTGGAGTGACGTTACGAATCATGAATGCCAAGTTGACTTTGAAGTACTCTCCCCGAAGAAACTCCCCATTCTGGCGGGCGTTAGGTCAGAAAGTGGAGGGGCTTAGGTCTTAAGAAGTGCATGATTGTGAACAGCACCAATAGGTCTTCCAAGAGGGCTATTTCAGTTCAATACCCCACATAAGTGTGGAACACTCACTTTAAGTGGATGCATTCTGGATTCTTCATTGGTCACCATTCATTACGTCGTAGCCACGATCCCCTCCGTTACAAATATCAGAACATCTTACAGCTTCCACCTACACACTCTGAATCCGCTGACCCGTTTTGCGCTTGCCGTGTAGAGGGTACACGGTGTCTCCTCCCACTATTGCTTCGGCCCGGCCTCTCCCACGCTGGGGTAGAGACAACATCAAAACCTGAACGGTTTAGTGAAACGGACCGTTTAATTGTGTGTTGGGATTTCGGAATAGCGAACGATGCATCATGCGCGTCTTTGTTAGCCCAGTGCACAGTTAGCTTCTTTTCTTCTCTCATCTCACTCAGCTCCCCAAATGTGAATAACAAAACCATAAACTGCAGTAGAGGCACAGCTGCCCGTCAGTGCCATTGCCATGCCTGAAGGGTGCCAAGGATTGGACTTATTCGTGTGAGAACACCGGACCGCCATGAGCGGCCGGGCGCGTTCCGAGCGCCCCACTGACAGTGCCCGTCTCTCTGGCGCCTGCAGACCATCGGCCCACGACTCGCCGTACCAGCCGCCGGCCAGCGCAGCGCTCTCGCCGCCCATGTCGCAGGCGCGCCTGCCCTACTCGGCGGCCGGCAGCGGCTACCACCCGGCGTCAGTGGTGGTGACGGCTGCCGCACCGGCCGCCGCCCACCACGACGTGCGCTGGCAGCAGGCGGCCGCCGCGGTGGCGGCCGCAGCGGCTGCTGGCGGCCCCTCGCCGTACGCCGTCCGGCCGGCCCCGGTGAGTGCGGCGCAGGCGACGACCCCCGAGGAGCCATGCTCTGGCCCGCGGCCAGGCCCGATCGGGGAGCGGCCGGCCTGGCTGATCCCGACCATTGTGGACAGCTGATACAGTCGTTGCGACGCTTCGGTTCGTGGAAGCGTGGCGTGGCGTCCAACGGTCGGCACCGCATCGTGCCCACAGGTTCAGGATGCCCGGCCGCATGTTGCAGACACGGTGTGCAGGCGTCGACAGGTACCGATCACACCGTCCAGTTGCGTCACGCTTAATGTTTACGTGATCGGGGTTGTGGGTCGCCAGGCTGTGTTTAGTTTGGATTTTCCCATGCCTCTCGTGTGGGTCAATATAAATCATATGAATGCTAGTGTTACCTCACCCGGCTGGCCCGGGTGTTTTCTCTGGTCTTCTCTGAGTCATCGCGACGGGAGCGGCTTTCAAGGTCGTGACCGCAGGTATTTCAGGCCCATTTCCGGCCCCAAGCCGGGTCATCACCCCACTGGCGCTCTGACCCCGCTGTGTTGGGCTTCACCGTGACGTCACCGTCTACGGGCGAGCCTCGGTGAACCACCTCCTACGCCAGCATAACACATGTCAAAATCACTGCTGGGCGCCCGGTCTGTGGTTTATGGGGCCAGCGCACTGTAATGATGACAAACTTGGAAACGTTTCGGGTGCGAGTGAGGGATGCGCGAATGTCACGGCGAAAACAAGGGGGAACATAGTGGTTGCGAGTGGGTGTTGGGAGAAAGTTTTACCGCGGGACCATCACCTGTGGTGTGTGTTACACCATGAACCGCACCACGTGCATTGATTAGCCTTTTGCATATAATTCTGTTTCAGCTGGTAACTTTCTCACTAGTTATGTCTTTCTCTGCCGCGCGTGCGGGACGTCTGAGACGTCTAGAGTTCTGCTCTCGCTGAGCCTCGTGTCAAACAGACCGGCAGATTCCTAAGCTTAATGGTGTTCATCTGACGGCCCGCCGTAAAGCACCAGCAATCAGCCGATTTAGACGTTCACACTCTCTGTGTATCGTTAAAGAATAGCGCCGCTGAATAAACAAGCCACTGGTCCATATTGTGATGTTCGCGGCAGCATGCCGCGCAGGATGGCATGTGATCGCTTACAAACACGAGTCTTGTACTCTCGCAGTCTGCCGTCCAGTCCGTGCAGTGCGAATCCAATGTGTTTGTGTCGATATGGCCAGTGCCGATCCTTGATGACCATACCATGTGGTGAAGGGTGTATCGTCAGCATGGTCGGGCAATGCTCGTCCCAAACACGAGGCCCCTCACGTCATTGCCGGTGATGTGTGCAGCAGGCGCGGAATGTCAGCCGCGTGCGTCATGACGCGTCACGGCGCTGCATGGCCGGCTTCCCTGCCGTGCTGGGATTTCCGTCGGCGGGCTTCGCCTGAGGAGACGGCCACGCCGCGCCACGCTCTCGCTTCCGTCACGTCTGCCGAGAACCGAGAGGCCCCACACACGGCCGCCAGACGTTTCGCAACGTGGTCGCGAAGGCCGGGCGCCGCCAGCGGCTCGGCTGCTAATGGCTGGCGCTGGGACCCGGCTCCGGCCGCGGCCGGGCCGCAGCATAACGCGTCCGACAGTGCCGTGCCGCGTCAGGGGCGTGGACCGGCCAGACGCGGCTCGGCGGTGCCGCTGGCGGCCGTGAGCTGCGCCCGGACGCAGCGATGCTCCTGCCCAGCCAGCTGTCGGTCGGCGGCGACCCACTCCGGCCGCCGCCCCTCTCGACAGGTCTCGCCGGGAGCGGCGCGCACTCGGCCATCGCCCCCCCCCCCCCCATCCCTCCCGCGGCGCCATCCGCGTGTCAGTCGCCCCCCGGCCTTGGGCGACGGCAAGGTCACGCGCTGCCGGGCTGGCCGGCGCGGCCCTCGTGAGCCAGCTCGGCGAGCGGTCCGCCTAGTCGGGTGGGGCGCGCCGGCGCTGCCCTGCCGCTGACGTGGGCACGGCCGCGCCTCGCCCGTCCTGCGCCCTGCCGGCGGGCCGCTAACAAAAAACCCGCTCGGTCGGGCGCGCGCCAACATATTGCCATGCCAACCTCACGCCCACATTCCAGCTGACGTTCGGGAAGGGCTGCGTGCTGTGTATTATCCATTCTGGGGCCTGATGGCTAGCGTGGGACGTAGTTAAAGCGCTGATTCATGTCTTTGGCGAGCGCTAACATAAGAGCCCACTATTATTCTCAGTGAAACGTGGGTACTCCACCAACATAAAGTACAATCAACTTTGAGTGCCTGGGAGCATTCTGTGTCCATTTGATGGTTGTGCGATGTTCGCAGTCCAGACGTGCATGTGCCAGGTCAAATCTGTGCAGAAGACGGTGCGATTTAATGTGGGCTGCATGGCCACGGACCTTGTTATTTCGTGCACACGTGTCCAGAACACAGAAGCTGTTCACTAGCTACCATCATATGATTGCGTATGGCTTGGTACAATGATGGATACTCCTTAAATGTTTGCATTGCACCGTTGTATTCATGGACGCAGATTCTTGATGCCATGTTCGTGATAATGAAGTACAGTGTAATTTCGGAGCTATGGAACAGGTCGCGAACAGACCAAATAATGTGTATTTCTATTTTGGCATGGGATTGGGAAAGATTTGCGTCTGCGCTTATTATGAATAGAACGCGAGGACACCGGAGACGGCGGGGGATAGGGCGTTGAGGCAGCAGAGGGTGGGAGGGGCCGATGGAGATGACGGATGGAGTCGGCTGGGGAGAGAGCCAGGGAGCGGCTGAGGGTGGGAGGGGCCGATGGAGATGACGGATGGAGTCGGCTGGGGGAGAGCCAGGGAATGGCAGAGGATGGGAGGGGCCGATCGAGATGACGGATGGAATCGGCGGGGGAAAGAGCAAGGGAACGGCAGAGGATAAGAGGGGCCGATGGCGTTGACGAATGGAGTCGGCAGGGGAGAGAGAGCAAGGGTGCGGCAGAGGGTGGGAGGGGCCGACCGAGATGACGGACGGAATCAGCGGGGGAGAGAGCGAGGGAGCGGCAGAGGGTGGGAGAGGCCGATCGAGATGACGGATGAAGTCGGCGGGGCAGAGAGCGAGGGAGCGGCGCGGGCACCGAGCCCAGTTGGCGGGCTGGCGGGCGCCGTCGGCTGCTGACTATTTCGGTGCACGGTCGGCCGGGCCGGGCAGGGCGGGGCGGCCGTTTTTATCGATCGGCGTGGCAGGGCTGCGGCCGGCCCGACCCGACTCGTACCGGCTTGCCGGCGCGGGTGCGTGTACACGTGCACCTTCGGTGGCCGCTAGGTGGCAGTAATGCACCGCCAAGATGGCAGACGGCTGTTTGTGTTCGCCGCCGCCGCCGACGTCACGGCCACCGCGGGCGCGGCCTTGTTTTTGTTGGGAAATGTGGAGAGCTACGGGCAAGTCGTCGTTGCCAGAAGCGAACATGAATGAAGAAATGCTGCTGGGTGCGATTCCGTTTGGTGCAAGCACTTCTTTTATGCGATCGCTCTGCCGTCGATTGTGTGGAGGGCGACAATTTCCAGCTATTGCATCATTTGCCCTTGGGCCTGCGCAGAAATAAAGAAACCAAGGACATCGAAGACGCATTTCCCGTTCCATCCCCGCGAGTTGCGAACATACCGCATCAGGCTGGCAGCAGAGGACATGGTGATTGTTCTGCCGAGTGCCAGTGAGCGGCCGACCGGGGCTTACTGCTAAACGTGAAGTGCGTCATGAAATCGTCATCGGCCATCACGTTCAGATTTGGTTTGCTGTGTTGACGGCAGGGCCGTCGACACCCGAGGCTGGCTCAGCGACTCCCGTGAACAGCTCATCCTATGATGCATCAACATGTGCTGACGTTTAGCCGTGCGGTCGCCGCGGCTGCGGTGGCGTTCGGAGTCGGGTGGGCTCAGACGGCGCCGGCGTGCGCGCACGCCTCTCACCCAGCCCTACCCCACCGTGGTGCCCTGCACGCTCGGCTGCCGGCCAGCTGCCGCCCGGTCGGGGTCGTCCCGGCCACACCTGGCCACCCCTGCCCCGACCCCGCCCGCCAGCCTCCCCCCCCCCCCCCCTCCGCACTGGCGCGGCTGGCGGACGGCCGCCGCTCTCGGTCTGCAGAGGGCCGCGAGTGTAGTGCGGCCTCGCCTCCGCGGCGAACATCAGCCCAGCAGCGTGCTGCGGGTGACGCGTCCGGCCGGCAGTGTCTGAACGCTGCCAGCCGTCGCGCCGCCGTCTCCGACATCCCAAGCGTAGCCGGGCGGCGAGAGTGCCACGTGGCCGCCGCTGCCGCCCGGCTGACGGCGCCGCTGGGGCCGGCCTCCCCCGTCACGTGTCCTGTCAGCGGCCGCGCCGGCGTATCTGGGATATTGCCGGCCGCACCCGACAACGGTTCATGCTCCAAGGTCACGCGGATCGTTCGAGTCAGGCCGATGACGAAGCATGAGAGCCTCGCCGAACAGCCTGGCAACAACTGCCTCAGTACCGTCGTGGGAGCCACCAGCTGCACATGGAAGCGGTCACAGCTTGTTGGCGGGGAGTTTAGGGCGCCCAACGGCCATGGCCGTTTTCACAATGCCCGAAGTTCATATGTCTCCTGCTGAAGTTCGACAACACGGAGAGGAAGAGGTCGGGTCCGAGTTTTGTGGGACGGTCGACAGTGGTCAAAGGATCGGGATTGGGATGGGTTTCACGAGGCGATCAAATTAGCTGCAAACCAGGGGTCTGGGTATCGGCTTATAAGGTGGGACTCCGCTGACCGTGCTCAGGTAAAGCCGTCGATGGATAGGTAAACGGCTACCATGGCCAGCATTTACTCCGCTGTCAACACCTTTCACGAGGAAAGACGTATTTCGAAGCTGTTCAGTGGATAGGGATGGCAATAGGTTGAGAGTTTCGTTGCGATGTCATGTTGCGTCGAGTTGTAACGTGTTTTTTGTACAGCATGTCTCAATTTCGTTTTCCTTTTGCTAGTTGCGGGCGTCATGCAGCCTTCGCGGTTATAAGCCCAAAGCCCCAATCGTCCTGATCATGATCGCTTCTCTCCCACCGCCATCTGCAATATGGCGCTGCGAATAGGCCCTAGATGTGTGGACAGTGTGCTCGGTCGCTTTCTGCACTATGGTGATATGAGAATGTAGGTGACGGTTTTGGACGCGGCCTGACAGACCCGCGCGGAAAGTGTTGCGTGTACACCTACTTTGCCTGCCCTCAAAGCCGTGTCACCAGTGGCGGCGCCGGCCGTGGCGTGCCGTCGTGTGCGGCATGGGCGCCGGTGTGACCGGCCGAGCGTGTCGGTGCGTGCCTCCTGGCGTGACGGGACCCGCCGCGCCTCCCCAGCAGATGCTGGTGCGGATGGATGGCGAGCGTGAGCGTGTCGACCGGATGGCCGTGCCGCGCATGCACCTGCACGACCCGCATGCGGCCGCCGCCGCCGAGCTCTACGCCCTCGACCAGCGCCGCTTCAAGCAGCTGGTGAGTGTCCCCGCCCCCACCCGACCCTGCCGGCGCGTGTGCTGCGCTCTCGTCAGCGGGAGGCCGCGGCAGCCGGAGCGTGAACGGCTCAGTGGGTCGGGTCTGGCGGCGTCAGCGACGGCTGGTGAGGCCTCGCCGCCGCGTCCGCCGGCTGTTTATGGACGGGATCTCCGACGTGCCAGCACTGTCTGTTTGGATGTGTCATTAGTGTTGGCCGCGCCGCGTCTGAGGCCGGGAGGCCGCCAGCTGGGCACTCGTCGGCGCCGCTCCTGCCGCGTCGGCCTCCCGCGAGGTCGCGTGACGTGTAGGCTTCCGCCGTCACCCGGCGGCGGCGGGGCAGCCAACATTGATTTCCGATGGCTCGGCCGCCGGCGGCCTGCGTGACCGCCGAGCGCCACGTCAAATCCGGCTACCCGGCCCTCCCGACCGGCCGGCCGCGCGCTCGATAACAGGTGACTGCAGCTGGCGCGGCCGCGTGGTCCTTCTCTTGACCTATTCATTGGCCGAAGAGGCGCCACTGTCGGCGCGCGGTGATAGGTTCTGTTTGGTGCCGGCGCGCCGGCGCCAAAACAAAACCGCCAAAACGAACTGCGGCGGCCGTTCCTTATCATACGATCGGGCGTGGTGGCGAGGCTCTGTTTATCGAGCCGCGTGGTCAGATGTACTTTGGAGTTGGCTGACGCGCGGCTGGGCGCTGGTCATTGGCGGGGCCGCGATCGCTCCATGCTGACGCAAGTCGTCACTGGACACCCCCAACACCTGGGTGCATGGTCGCGACATGCACTGTTGCATCGACCAGAAATAGAATGACGTGAGGAAGCGTTCCGTTTCGCTGACGTAACCTGTGCTGTTTGCTCTAAAATGGGGTGAGTCGACAATACACGTCACTTTTTGCGTCTTGTATGGACTGTGTCCTGCTGGAGGTTCTTCCATACAAGGACTTGTTTTTGGGCGCCGACTAGTTCATGTGCGCTGTGGATGACGCCAGCAAAAATTGCGAATCGCTCAGCGTAAACGGCGCGCATTGTAAAAAAGCATCGAGTCACCAAAGCCTCGACGTTGTCAAATTCAGGGAACGGGTATGATAGCGACTTTGCAAGCTAATACTGGTCTGTGTGTTCTCAGCAGCAGCAGCAGCAACAGCAGCAACAACAGCAGCAGCAGCAGCAACAGCAACAGCAACAGCAACAACAGCAGCATCAGCAGCAGCAACAACAGCAGCAACAGCAACAACAACAGCAACAACAGCAGCAGCAACAGCAACAACAGCAGCAGCAGCAACAGCAGCAGCAAAAGCAGCAGCAGCAACAACACCAACAACAGCTTCAGCAGCAGCAGCAGCAGCTCCAGCAGCAGCAGCAACAGCGGCAGCCTGAGCCGCGGCGGGCGCGGCGCCCCACTCTGTTGCCGGCGGCGCACCCGCACGGCCAGGAGTACCCTTCACACGCCGCCGTGGCGGCCGCCTCGCTCGGTCACCAGCACCGGCCCGACGACCGGCCACCGCTGCGGCACCCGGCCTATAGGTACGGCTCCTCCCACGCCCGGGTCGCGGCGGCGGCGCGCCCGCTCGCCCGCTGGCGGAGTAATCACATCACGTCGGCGGCGGCGGCGGCGATGTAACAGGTGGTCTGTGGCGGCATAGGTCGCCGGCCGTGGTGTCGCGGACCGGCTGTGCGGTTCGTCGCGCCGGCATCACCGCCAGCCGGGGCCCACGTGCGGGGCGGCCGTCTGCGCCCCGTGCCGCGACACCGCGTCATTGTCGAGTGGCGAGCGGGACGGGCCGTCGGCGGCGTGATGACATGTCTGACGGCCGGCCGTGCGCCGCAGGGGCTACGGCGAGCGCGATGGGCTGCTGCACCTGGCGCCGTCGGTGTCGGCCTCGGGCGGCCACCACCCGGCCGCCAAGCTGCGCCTGCTGGACGGCAAGCCGCCAGCCGGTGCCGGCGGCCGGCTCTGACGTCCGGCTGCCGCTGCACATCGTCACCAACAGCGACGGCGGGCACATGGCCACCGCGCAGCGGGTGAGATTCGCTGGCCAGGTGTCGTCATAAGCTGCTCATTGACTGCTCATTGAACACGTGCCGCCCAGTCTGACCCGGAACGGCACGGCGGCACGACCGCCAGCCACTGTTGCGGTATCGACCGAGGCGTATCGTGCCATCGCCTGGGCTATCCACATGACCGTTCGGATCGCCTGGGATGATCGTTGCATGCGGTCCGTTTCCTGTTCGCTGTAGCGTTACCGCCCGTCGGCTCGCGTGGTGGTATTGGCCGGCATCTCGGTGATCGGGCAGCGGCCTCGGAGGACGCCCAACGTGTTTCGGGGCCCCGCGATGGACGGCGCGCCGCCCGCCCGCTCGTCCGCCCGTCCGCTCGTCCGCTCGTCCGACGGCCGGCCGGCCGGCCGGCGGGGCGGTTGCGCCATCGCGCTGACCGGCCGACTGTCGAGGATGCTGTTTGACGGGCGGCGAGCTGAGTCACGGTGCGGTTCGCTGAACGGCTGGCCGTGACGGGCCGGGGGCAGCGGGGCGGCCGCCGTCCGGTCACGGGACGTCGCGGCGCGGCGCGGCGCGGCGCGGCGCTGGTGTCCGCTCCGGCCGGCGGCGGGCGCGCCGTAGCCCCGCGCCGCGCTGAGCCCGGTCGATGGGCGGACAGCCGGCGGAGGCTGCGCTCGGCTGGCTCGCCGCCGTCTCCTGCGACCGTCTCCGTCGTTGGAGCGACCGAGCGCCGCGCGTAAGACGTAGGCGATAGCGGGGAAGTCGGTCCCGTTATCGCCCCGCTCCCCCACCATCCAGCGGGGCTAGTACGGGCCATGCTAGGGCTATTGTCACGTACCGGTGACCGCCTGGACACGTCAAAAGGAAAAATGGCTGACGCTGGGCAGACAGCTGGTGGCGCAAAAAGGTCACAAGAAGTCAATGGGGCTGTCCCTGGGACCATGCAAAAACTCCAGCAAAAAGTAGTTTATTCCCAATGTCAGCGTTGTGTGTAGTGGGGTCGCGCCCGGGCCCGCCGCCAAAGCGGCGTGTGTAGGCGTACGTGCGCCGGTGCCGGCCATGCTTGTCTAGCTGACTGTGTTTGCGAGCGGGCCGGCTCGTCCATTGTGGCGCGGCCGGTCCCGGAATAGCCGACTCGGCGGGCCTGGCCGGCGGCGCGACGCTGCCTGGGCGGCACACAAGGCCGCGGCCGGCGGGGCGGGGTCACACGCCCTCGAGCGGCCGGCCTGGCGCCGGCGGCCGCTCTTCCCGGCCGGTCACCTTGGCTGACCGCGGGCGCGCCAAGTGGCTTGAGGGATCGTGCGGCCGACCCTTAAATAGACGTGATCTCCCAAATATCCACGGCCCATACCGGCGCGACTCAGTCCCGACTGGACGGGCGACCTTGGGTGACCTTGACTGAGGTGGCTTACTCCTTGGCGGTCACTCCTCGGGCCAGTGAGTGGGGCGGGGGTGGGGGGGGGGGGGGGGGGCAGGGCAAAACGCAGCACGCGTCGCCGCCTCCCCTGACCTGCCGTCGCGTGCCATTGACTGACACACTGGGCGGCCCGGCCCGCAGGAGTCGTACAACCCGCAGACGGAGGCCATCTCGCCGACGCTGCCGGCCGACGGTCTGGACGAGTCGCCGCTGCGCTCCACTAAGGACGAGCTGCTGCGCCAGATCGGCACCATCGACCGCGAGATCATGAAAGCCGAGTCGCAGATCGCCAAGCTGAAGCGCAAGCAGGTGCGGAGTGGCGCTGTTGGAGGACGCGCCGGGTTTGGGCGCGGGTCTGAGACGGGCTGCGGGATGGAGGTGGTGTCGCGGCATGGGCTTGTCGCGTCAGGATCGCAGCGCTCGGAACAGGGTGTTTACAGAATGTGTGTGCATGTTCCGAACTCCTACACCGAACTTCATGTTTGCACTCATTCAACTCAACGCTTCGTGAGCATTGCGTTCTTCGTGAGATGCGGAACCAGCGCCATGTAGGGCGGTGTCCGGTGGCTGGCCGTTATCAGCTGGGTGTGTGGGGCCATGCGACGTAGTGACTGGCGCGAGGAGGCCCGGCGGCCGGCTGACCGTGCCGTTTGCCGGTGTCGGCAGAGCGAGCTGGAGGACCAGGCCAACAGGCCGGACGGCTCCGGACAGGAGGAGGACGAGAAAGAGTCGAAAAACCGCAGCCTCGCGCAGATAATCTACGCCGAAAATCGGGTACGCGAAGTCTCACTCCGTCAGGCTTGCTAAGCTTCTTGGGTTCATCCAGTTCGTATGCCGTTCGTATCCGCGCGAGATGTGGTCGTCGCGTTGTGAGTTCTCAGGACCTTCGTTCCTGCAATTTGACGGGCTGGCCGAGCTAGTAGCGCGAACCCATCGCTTGTGTTTGCGTTGTCAGCTGCCCGTGTGGGTAAACCGCGACGGGAGTCGGGTATGGCTGGCGCCCGCTGCAGCAGACCACTGACCACGTGGGTCAGGATTGCGGCGCTGAAATGTCTGACACACCGGTCCAGAAGTATGCGACTAATCCGTGCGATGGCGATTTCAGAAAAAGGCGCGGGTGGCCAAGGTCGATCTGGATAAGCTCGGACCTCAGGTGAGTGGGAGCCGCACGTGCTCCGAGCGGCTGCGCTGGAGGGAGGGGGCAGGCGAGAGCGACTGGGGTCCGTGTCTGGCCAACACCTCGCTATCCGTGTGGACCGCGTCCGTGGTTATCGCCATCCGTCAGCCGCCGGTCGCCGGTCGCCGGTCGCCGCCGGACGGCCGGGCCCGTGCGTCTCCTGGCTTTCCGACGTCTCGCCGACCGTGGCGAGCGATGTTGGCGCGGCCGGGTGTGCACTGCTCACTGACCCACTCTCGGCGGCCGCCAGGCGCCGGCCGACGACACGGGCTTCTCCCGACTGTTCGCCGCCAACCAGCCGCTCTACAACCAACCGTCCGACTCGCCCGTCTACCAGAGCAACCGGCAGACGTACCAGCGGCTGAAGCGGCCGCTGGTCTCGTACGTGCGCCGCCGCCGCCAGCAGCAAGAGAGCCGCGTCCGCACCACGGTCGAGGCCTACACTGAGAAGATGGCCTCCTGGATCCGGCAGATCGAGAGGCTCGAGAGTCAGCCGGTGAGCGTCCGGCGCCCGGCGCGGCGTCACCGCTGCCGCCGGCCACGCTGCGCTGATGACAGTCACCCGTCTGAAGGGACCCGAGAGGGACTCCCGTACAGTTTCCGTGTCAGATATGCGTATTCGTACCCTGATGTATTCGCCGGGCGGCGCGCCGTCGGTGTGGTGTTCCGTTTGCTGATCCCGCGACCTGGTGTGTCGCGCAGAAAAACCGGCAGAAGGCGGCGAAGAACCGCGACTTCTACGAGAAGGTGTTCCCCGAGATCAAGAAGGCGCGGGAGGAGCGGGAGCGTTTCAACCGTGTCGGTCGCATGATCAAGTCGGACGCCGAGATGGAGGAGGTGATGGATGGCATTCAGGAGCAGGAGGTACGCGCCGCTCGCGTGGCTCCGGCCGGTTGTCGTCTGCTCTTGTGACTACGGTACAGCCAACTCACGAACGCAATGACCTGGTTGTGTGACTTGTAATGGCGTCCTGCACTAGCTTGCAGACGACAGATGGAACGGTAGACCCGTGCTCGGCTCGGTGTGAGCGGGGGCGCCCGTGCGTCCCGGCTGGCGCACCTGATGCAGCGCTGTGTTTCAGAACGAGAAGCAGAAGATGAAGTCGCTGGCTGTGATACCGCCGCCGCTGCTGGACGCCAGCCGGCGCACCTACGTGTTCCACAGCACCGACGGCCTCATAGCGGACCCGATGATCGTGCACAACGAGCTGCCCAACCACAACGTGTGGACCGAGGCGCAGCGCGAAGCGTTCCGCGAACGCTACATGCAACACCCCAAACAGTTCCACATGATCAGTGCCGCGCTCGACGGCAAGACCACCAGCGAGTGCGTCAACTACTACTACATGAGCAAGAAGCAGGAGAAGTACAAGGAGCGGCTGAAGAAGGCGCGCACGCGCGGCCGGAACCGCGGCCTGGCCAAGCCGGCGCCGCCTGTGTCGGCCGTGGAGGTGATCGGCGCCAATGTGACGGGCGTGACGACGCGCGGCTCGATGGCGGCGCTGCAGCAGCGCGAGAAGGCGGGTGGCGCGCCGGCCGGTGCCGCCGTCAACAGCATTGCCTCGGACGCGGTGGCCGACGAGGCCGGTGCCGACGAGAAGCCGGCCGCGTGCAGCCCGCCGGCGGCGGCGGCGCCACCGGCGCCGCCGCTGTCCGCTGCCGACACCGTCGCCAGGTGAGCGCCCGGCCGCCCGCTGCCGGCAGCGGCAGCTCGGCTCCGCCAGCAGCCGTCCCGACGGGCGGCTGGAAGGAGTTATTCAAACGCGATGACGGGGACGTCCACAGAAGTTTATAAAGTATAGATGCCGATATGCCCGGAGTGGCCTTAGCAGCTGCCGCTCGCCCCCACATAAAAAGTTTGTTTCTTTTGAGCACAGGGAACGGTGGTTCACCGAGCGATGTTTGATATTTTCGTGGCATGCTATCATTGGATAAAACACGTAATCATTTGTGTTACTGGCGTTTCGTATGGATGGCATGTTTGCACTGGGCAGATCGCCATTCCTGTCTTCTCTATCAAAACATCGCCTTTGCTTGTCGAAATACCGGAAGTGATTAAGACGGAGGCCGTCTCCGGTCGTGTCGGGTTTCGGCTTAAGAACCGATGGTTGGCTCACTCCTCGCCGCGCATATTTTTGTTTGCTGCGGCTGCTAGCGAAAGTTCGTCCCGAGTTCCAAACGCAATAAGCTGCGACACTAACAGCCCCGTAGCAGTCACGTGCGCGCATGAGGGATCTGACGGGGTCCGCTAATTAATTAAAGTCTCGCCCTTCCATACGGTCTGTCGCGTCATGGTCCATGAAATATTCACGATGTTATGATCAGATTACACTCGTTCGAGCTCGTCGCATGCTAGGCCATTATGGGCTGGTCTGGTAAGCTGATCAGAAAGGGTGTCGGAACCACCGGCGTCGTGCAGACTTTATCTTTGGTGTGATCCCAGAAGCTGGCAGTACTGGCTTTATTTGAGATGAAAGAAATGAAAAAGCCAGGGACCTTGCAGTTCTGTAGGCCGTTGCTGGCCGAGAAACAAAGCAAACGGGTTATGGTCAAACAGCCGCTATTGACGCCAATCTCGGTTAGCTGCCACGCGAGACCTACTCATCGTTCGGCCCTCCGAAAGGTTAAGTTGAGCGTTGATCCGGTCTGGCCGTTGACGGCGAAGTAAGCCCGCTCCAGACGCGACGGGTGCCACGATATGTGGGCCACTTATTGCGTTCGATGTTAGTTATGTGCCGACAGCTGTATGCATTTAAAGTGACGGTCACGCCTTCTCGTTCCCAGTATGGTTTTAGGTCACCGTTCGTCGTCTGATTGGTTTTGGTACATTATGCGTCTAGTGGCTTGATTAGGGTCTCTCAAGTTACGCTGACTGTGTGACTACACCCTACCCGTTGATTGATTCCTTATCACGTCCTGTTAGATCCAGCTGCGGTGGCTTGCATTCCTTTCTGACAACCCAGAGACTTCTGATAAAACGCACTGGAGGGTGCCAGTACAACAGAGCGTATTCTACATCAGCTGTGCCGATCGTGTCTTGTCGCGCGGTTTATCCTGACATGATGATTCATAACGCAGAACGAGATGCCATGAGTGTCTGTATTCGTACACTGAAGCAAACGAACCGGACAGGGAGCGGGCCGTCCGCTGACCTGGTCTCATTCCTGTCATCCCCGTTTCAGCGAGACGAAGGCGGGCAAGAAGCGAGAGCGACGAAAGGGCGAGGAGGAGCGGCGCAAAGCGGTGGTCAGCAGCGACGAGGAGAACGAGAACACGGGTGAGCGACGCTGGGCGACGGACGAGGCTCCTCCGCTGATGCCCGAGGGCACGCCGTCTCGTCCCCCCCCCCCCCCCGCCCCCAACACACAAACCAGCCGCTGCGATCTTCTATGTTGCGGGCGAACGCGACTGTGGGCGCTCACTCACGCAACGGTGTGCGTGTTATTTGGTCAAACGTGTCACAAAGCTGAATTTACAAGTCACACATCACGCGTGGGCCGGTCTTACATCACGTTGCGGCGCCGGGAGCGTCGTGGGTCTCGCAGCACGTGCGAACCCCTACCTCCCGTCTCCGCCCGGTGCCGAGAGGTGGGGCGGCGACAACCGAGTCCGGCGTCATCCGCGCGCAGGCCGCCTAGCGTTTTGCCGTCTCGCTTTTCACGTGGTAACGTTTGCGATGTTTGTGGACGAAGTAGTAGCTGGGGAACTTGGCGCCGCAGCGTCTGCATGTGTAGGCGGGCTGCGTGCCAGCACTGGGCCGGAGCTGGCTCCTGTGCCGGCCGGGAGCGTCCGGCTCGGCCGGCTGCCGGAACTGGTGGTTCAGTACCCGCTGGAAGCGGACCGGGCCGTCACAGCTGGCCACGTGTAGTGCGCTTGGCGCCGGCGGCGGCGGCGACTGGAGGCTGACTGGGCGTGGCGGCGGCGGCAGCGGTAGTGGTGGCGCGACGGGCCGGGTCAGGTCGAGCGCGCCGGTCTCCGGGGGCGACGGCGACGGCGGCGGTGGCCGGGCTCGCCGCGTCGCCGCCGCCTGCAGCAGGAACTCGGTGCAACGCAGCACGACGGCCGGCGCCTGCAGCAGCTGGCCGGCCAGCAGCACATCGGCCACCGTGTCGGGCCGGAGCGGCAGCACGCCCGTGTACAGAAACACGAGCACGGCGGCCAGCGTGTCGGCGCGCACGGCCGGCAGGTTGAGACGCGGCGCGCCGCCACCGGCCGCCAGCGCGGCGCGCACCAGCCCGCTAGGAGGCGGCCAGCACTGCCCGGTGCGCCGGGAACAGCTGGCCGGCCGCCGAGAGCACCAGGTCGCCGTGCGGCTCCATGGCGCGGCGTGCGGCGCGCAGCGAGCGTGGCTGGTGACTGGCGCGTCCGCCCGTCCGCCGCGGCTGGTACCCCGCGGGACGTCTCCCCGCTGCCGCCGCCGCCGTCCGCTCGCCTCGTTTTCGAAGGCAAACAACTGGATCGAACTGCCTGCCCTGTTCTGTTCCCTCGGGTGCGCTTCGCTTTCCATTAAAAAGGGCCAGGACTAGCCACTTGAGTCTGTTTTTCGTCAAGCTCCGTTGTGTTGACGGTGCAGTCTTTTCAACTTGCCGACGGCAATTTGATCATTGTTGGTCCGAACCTGACTCATTGGCTGATGTCCACCTTCTAGGGTAGCCTATAGCGAAATGGTCTCCATTACGCGCATATGCATAATCGGTGTGGGATCGTTTTTCCACGGTTACCAGAAGCGAGGGACCTCTTTTCGCTTGGTCTTTGGTAAGCTGCACGACCGATCATGCCGGCTTTGCTCGACAGACGCACGCCCGCAGCGTGCCCTCGAAGAGGTCACCAGCAATTAGCCTCAGCTACTCCCCAGTCGGGCCATATAGCCGCCGGTGCTGACGCCTGCGCGCGCTCGCGGGGCTGTGTTCGACGGCGTTAGGGAGTCAGCCGCCTGCCCGTTTGTGTCGGTACAGCTGCCGCGGGGGTGAACATCTCCGGTTGGGCTGTTAAAGCGTTCTCACATGTAGTGTTACAGTTGCACCAGGTACCCTCCGCCCCCCCCCCCCCCCCCCACATTCACCTGACATGCGGACGTTTGTTTGTTTCCTCGCCAGCACAGCAGTGTAATTGCTCTTCGTTGCTCGAGGCGTGTCTATCGAGGCGAACATCAGCCGTTTCTGTGGATGAAGTATTGTTTTCAGTCTGTTGGTTCACCATTTCGGAGAATTGCTGCTGTAAAATATTTATGTCCTAAGAGGGGGATAGGAAGCAGCGTCAACAGAAATATTACAAATGGTTTCTGAGTGTTTAGTGTGTTTGATGCTCGGTTTGAATTCCCAAGGCTTTAATCGCGAGGACTCCTGGTCGTGAACATGTTAGGTCGTTAGACTGCTGGCATCATTCCTTGACCGGCCTCCCGGGTCGGGGCGTAATTTTCACGAGTGTCCAGGAAGTACGGCGCGCTTGTTTTTTTAGGACTGGCGGGTCACTCCCCCCACCAATGATTCCGTGTGTATCTATTTGTGCCGTATTTAATTGTTTGTTGATGGTCACGTCGGATAAGGCGAGCGTGCCAGGGCACTTAGTATGTTTGCATTGGACATTACCGGTGGTGCTCACAAAGACTTTCCGTTTTTACTTGCTGTTGACTGAACGCTGCCACGTATACCCGCCCGTTCTGTATATAATGCGTTGATTATCGGATTGACATAGGACGTTCGGCCGGGGGACAGCCATCGGTCACCGGCGGCCGGTGAAGTGTCGTCTGCCGGTTAGCCGACTCACTGGGCGGTTGTGGACGGCGCGCGTGGGTGGGCGTCGCCGGCCGCGGCTGTGTTCGAGCGGGCCGTGTGTCCAGCTGGGCGGCGCGGCGCAGCTGGCAGCGGGCGCCGCTGTTGCCGCGCCGGCTGCTGGCACGCGGCCGCTGCCCGCGGCCGGCTCTGTCGCTGAGGCCGCGCGCTCTCTGTGCCCGCCCGCAGGCAAGGGCGGTCCGCACCCGTGCGCCGTGTGCCAGGCCCAGCTGGAGCACTTCGGCCAGTCCCGTCCGCTGCCGGCCTCGCACGCCGCCATCTACGGCCTGGCCGAGCACGGGGTGGCAGAGGAGGCGCGCGTCTGTACCTCCTGCCGCTGTCGCTCCGTCAAGCGACGCTACTCGCAGTGAGTACTGAGTGACGCGGTCCGCCTGTCTGCCCACCGCGGGTGCCGGTGAGCAGTGCGGCAACGGGCTCAAACGACTGCCGGCTTGGTCCTACGGATTCTTTTGTCCTGCCGCGAGGTAATACCCAAATGAGCGCTGTCGTGCCGAATCGCCTCGTCTTCCGCAATCTCCGGACGAATGAACAATGAACAGCCGTACCATGACTCATTTGTATGAAGTTAAGAGAGCATCCACCTCTAAGCATTTAATTATGCGTAAGCTTTGAAGCGCGATGCGATGTCGCGTGCTATCAGAGGGGCCTGCGGCGGTGGCCGTGTGCCGCCGGCTGAGCCCGTCTGACGGCGCCGCGCCCGTCCGTGTTGCAGCATCAAGTGTCCCATCCCCACCTGCCCGACGCCCAAGTTCCGCGTGAAGCGGCTGCGCCCGCTGCCGGCGCGCTGGGCCGAGATCGCGCCCGAGACGCGACAGGCCATCGCCCAGGAGCTGCGTAAGTGCGCTGTCGCCACCGCCGCCGCCGCCACGCGGCCCGGTGACATGCTGGCCGCTGACTTGTGGGATGAGCGAGCGCAGCACGGCCGCCGTGCCGGTTTTCCCTGCGGGTGGCCGACGATGTGCGGTGTGGTTGCATGTATTTCCGGATCCGGGTGTCGCCGCTTGTTTGGCGAGCGTCCAGCGTGCGGCATAATTAGCGGCGGTGATTCAGCGCCGCCGGCGCCTGCCTGTCCACGTCACCGATTGCGTATCGTGCAGCGGCGCCGCCGGCTGGCGTCCCCCGGCGCCGTGAGCGCGAGGCAGCCCGGCTGACGCGCCGCCCGCCGCCCGCAGAGATCACGCCCGAGGTGGTCAAGTGCTGCTCGGCCTGCCACAACCGGATCGCGCGCAAGCTGGCGCCGGGCGAGGCGCCCGAGGAGCCGGCGGCGTGGTCGGACGCCGAGATCGAGCGGTTGCGCGGCGGCCTGCGCGCGCACGGCGCCGACTGGCCGCGCCTGGCCGACGCCGTCGGCGGCCGCAGCGCCTCCCAGTGCAAGCGGTTCTACATCGACCACAAGCTACGTCATAAGCTGGACGAGGTCATGGCCGAGTACAAGCGGGTGAGTGCCGCCAGGGGCCTGTAGCCCGGCGAGCCGCGCCGCGTTGGCGCGCCCGACACGATCTGTTCGTGGTCTGCCCTCCGGCGCTGTTGTACGAACTGGTCACGCTTTACGCGGCGTACATTGCTGAGCTAGCTTTACTGGTAGGCTGTGGGTGTATTGCATGGTGCCGTGCGATTGACTTCCGTAGTGAAACATTCACACAGTGCAATGTAACAATGCATGCGCAGGTCCATACCCACCTTTGCAGCGTTCGGAGATGCCGCTATGGTATCGCTTCAGCACCGAGCCGTGTGCGGGTGTCTATGGCGTAATGAGTGGACGTTGCGTGTGGAAACGCTGCTGCGGCAGCCGTCGCCCGGTGTGGGTGTGGCCGGCGGCCGACGCCGTCCGTGGGACGGCCGGTCTGACTGCCTGCTGTGCCGTCCGCCGCAGCTGACCGGCGACAAGGAAGGCAACCTGGTGGTCACCGACGAGGAGGAGTCGGGCAGCTCCACCTCCAGCGCCGACGACCCGGAGGCGCGCGCGGCCGCGGCGGCGTCGGCGGCCGCCGCGGCCCGCAACGACAGCGAGTCCACGGCGTCGGCACCGTCGCCGCCCGCCACCGCCGCCACCGCCAACGGCACGCAGAACGGCGAGGTGTTGAGCGTGCCGGAGCGGGACCCGGCGCCGCCCGCTCCGTCGCCGCCCCCGCCGCCGCTGGCGTCCGCGGCGTCAGCACCAGCAGTGGCGCACGGCGCCGGCGAGCGACAGAACGATGGCGGCGACAGCTCGGAAACGGTGAGGGGCTGTTGCCGGCGGGCGCTCCCTCCGATGCTCCGCTGTGCTGCCGGCCACTCGGTGCGTTTGTGACGCTGGCGCAGGCTCAACATTAACGTGGGACTCGATAGCCCACGCTGCGAAAATATGTGGGCTTAATGCCAGGTTCACAGATCACTGCGTGCTGTGAAAATGTCCAGGCTTATGTTGAGCTGCACACTGTGTGTTCATAAGGTCATAACGTCTGCTCTTTCAGGTGTCGGCGGATGAGGCAACGAACGACACTGAGGATAAAGTGGAGCCCAAGTATTTATCGGCGGCGCGCGTGCCCACGCCCGCCTCAACTATCTCGCCGCGGCCCGGACTGCCCACGTGCACCAACGTGGTGATGGGCCACCTCATCGACGCCACAATTAACAAGTCGTTCCCCAGCGTGATGGCCAAGGACCGCGAGGCGATGCAGGCGGCGGGCGGCGCGCCCAGCCTGACCATCAAGAGCCTGCTGGCGACGCCGGAGCAGTATCAGCCGGCGCCGCTGCCCGCCCGCCCGGCGCCGATGCTCTCGCGTGCTGACAGCAACGAGGTGCAGGACCTGAGTGTGCGCAAGCCTGCGGCGCCGGTGGCGGTGCCGGCCGGCGCGCCGCTCAGCCTGACGCGCAAGCCGGTGGAGCCGCGCCCGGCGGCGCCCGAGCCGCGGCCGCCGCCGGCGCACCGCGGCCTGCCGGCGCCGCGCGACGCCTACTACGCCGACATGCGCATTCGCTCGCCCTCCCAGCCGGTGTTTATGACGGACCCGCGCGCCGGCCTGGCGCCGCCGCCGCCGCACGCGCTGCACCAGCCGCGGCCCGTGTCGCCGGCGCCGCCGCCGCGCGTGCTGCCGCCCAAGATGGGTCTGAAGCCGGCGCCGCCGCCGCTGACCAGCTCGCGCCCTGCGCCGCCGCCGGCGCACATGCCCGGCCGGCCCGACCCCAAGACGGCGCCCATCTCGGTGCGCACCGGCTCCGGCTCCATCACGCAGGGCACGCCGCTCGCCAACATCCCGCACGCGGCGCCTTACGAGGGCCTGCTGCGACCGATGACCCCGCAGCAGCAACAACAGCAGCAGCAGCAGCAGCAACAGCAGCACCAGCACCAGCAGCACCAGCAGCACCAGCACCAGCATCACCACCAGCACCAGCACCAGCACCAGCAGCAGCAGCTGCCGCCGCCGCCACCGCCCAAGGACGGCGGCAGCATCACGCAGGGGACGCCCATCCACGCCGACCCGAAGCGTGGCGCGCCACCGCAGCTTAAAGAACACCCGACCACCGGCTACGACTCGCGCGGCGTGCTGGTGGTGGTTCAGGACGGCATGCGGCCCGGCGGCAGCTATGACGGCCGGCTGGCGCCCGAGCACTACAAAGGCGCGCGCATGTCCCCCGGCCGGCCGGCCTACCCGTACCCACCGGGCGTGCCGGCCTCGTACCACCACCACGCGGCTCAGCAGCAGCCGCACGCGCAGCGGCGGCCGCCGCCCCCGCCACCCGACCACCTGTCGTCGCGGCATGTGCTCCTTACCGACTACATCACGTCGCAGCAGATGCACGGTCGCCGCGACAGCCGCGGCGGTCCGGCCGACAAGGAGCTGCGCAGCACGCCCGGCCTGGAGCCGCAGCCCATGTACTTCTCAGCGGCCGGGCCCGGTTACCAGGGCGTCTCCGGCTATATGCGACACCCGGCGGCCGCGCGTGACACTCCGCCGCCGCACCACCAGCAGCACCAGCATCAGCAACAGCAGCAACACCAGCAGCAGCAGCAGCAACAGCAGCAGCAACAGCAGCAACAGCAGCAGCAGCAACAACACCACCACCAACAGCATCAGCAGCATCAACAACAACAACAGCAACAACACCACCAGCAACAGCAGCAACAGCAGCAACAGCAGCAGCAGCAGCACCAGCACCAGCAGCAGCGGCAGGGCGTTATCCAGCGGCCGACGGCCAGCCGGGTTCAGGCCAAGCCTGGCCCGTCCATCCCGGCGCCGCATGATAGCTACCACAAGCCGCCGGCCTCGCAGCACGGTCAGGACAACTTCAGTACGCTGGTGGACGTGGCTGTGGCGCAGAGCAGCCTGATGGTACCCAGTCGGGAGGAGCAGCTGCGCGAGATCGCGCGCTACGGCCGGTCGCTGTTGCAGGAGCCGCCGGCGCAGGCGCAAGAGATGCGCGGCGGCCGCCCGCCCAACGACAAGTCTGGCATTACCACCATGAGCTTGATCGAGACGATCATTAGCCGCTCCATCAACCAGGAGAACTGTAGCCAGCCCGTGACGTCGGCGCCAGGCCACGGCGAGCTGAGCGGCAGCGACCTGCGCGCTCCATCCTACAAGCAGGCGCGCAGCCCGGCCGCCAAGGACATGATGGTGCTCGAGTCGTCCAACGACAAGCGCCCCGGCTCGCGCCCGATTCACATGGACGGGGCGGCGCCGGCGCACGAGGATGGCCGGCCGGCGCGCTCGACGCCGCTGTCGGCGGCGGCGCGGCCCGGTCCTCTGTACGCCGGCGGCCGACCGCAGCCGTACCATCAGCCGTTGGAGCCGCACCCCCGGCTGACTATGATGATCCCGCGCGCCAGCGTCAGCGCCGTCAGTCCGATGGCGTTCCAGGGTCGGCCGATGGCGCCGCCCGGCCACCGGCAACACCTGTCGCCCGGCGGCGGCGGCGGCGGCGGCGGTGGTGGTGGTGGCGGTGGCGGTGGCGGTGGCGGCGGTGGCGGCGGCGGCGGCCCGTCCTCCAGCCCGCAGCTGGCCGGACAGGACGCCTATCCCTACCGCTACCGCAAGGCGCCGTCGGCGCGCCAGTCGGAGCCGCCGCCGCCGCCGCCGCCGTCCGAGGCTGAGCGCGGCCGCTACGGTCGCAACGAGGAACGGCACATCATCCGCGTGGCGCAGAGCGGCTCACCGGACCGCGCCAACCACCGGCCGCCAGCCAGCCAGTCGTACCCGCCGCCACCGCCGCCGCGCGTCGAGGCTGTCACGCCGCCGAGCGCGCTGGTGGAGCGCGCCGACGCCGCCGAACAGGGAAAGATGTCGGCCGCGCAGCAGCTGTGGATGCAGCAGCGGCGGCCGTACCTGGAGCCAGCCGGCCGCGCCAGCATCGCCTCGCCGCTCGACTACGTCAAGTACCGGATCGCCGAGGCGATGCGCACGCCGGACACGGCCGGCGAGGCAGGCACCGAACACCGGGAACGGCCGGCGTCGCGCGGCACCGTGCGGCCACACAGCCCGCGCGCCACCTACGAGCCCGTGAAGCGGGCGCGCGTGGAGGCGCCGCCGCCTGGCGACGGCGGCCCGCCGGGCGCGCCGGCCGCCGACGGCGGCAAGCCGGCCGAGCACAAGGGTGCCGAGACGGCGGCCGAGCGGGCCGAGGCGGACAAGAGCGCCGAGCAGCTGAAGCTGGCCATGGCGGCCGGCTACTATCCATACCGGCCGGCGAACGGCGGCCTGACGCCGACCCCGGCCGCCGGCGAGCCGCCTGCCAGCCAGAAGCACGTGGCCGCCTACCAGGACATCTCGGACGACGAGTGACGGGGGCCACCGCACACCTCGGCCCGCCAGGCACGCTTACTTATTTTACATAGAGCTGACAATATATCGCTGTTGATGTATTACTGTGCGACCCAGCTGTTCAACTCTGGTCAGTCTCCGCCTGCTTTCATGTGATGTGATTGAGCAAACTGGCTACAGTCGCCAGCAATCAGTGTAGGCTGTTGTAACGCTTTGTCGGTTGCATGTCCATGACTTTTGCTCACCGTGGCTATCTTCTTCATAGTCACAATTACCTTTTATATTAAGTCCATGTACAAAAGTGTCAAGCGTTGTAACCCGGATTATGTTGGTCATGTTGTTTCAAGTGATCCAGATGGTGATGTTAGTTTTAGCGACGTGCAGAGATGTTAGCAATGTACGATGGTTGGAACTTAAACCTACCGTGGGCCGCAAGGCATCCGTGATCTCTTGTTATTACTGTTGAATAAATTGTATGATAACGCTGGCTACTTCGGTGTACCGAGCGTTAGCGGCGATGGTGATGGATGGGAGACGGATCGACCCGTGCCAGATGTGGGTCGACACATCTCGACCGAGCCTGATCCGGTGAGGGTTTGGCCGTCCGCGCGCACACCACGAAGGCGCAGCAGACCGGGCGGAGTGAGGCGGATGACGGTACCTCGCACGCTCTTCACTATCCAGCCCCTTGGCGACGCGCGGCTTCAAACTATTATTTGGAGCCCTACCAGAATCGTAAAGGTGACACTATCTTTCTCGCGTTTGCGGTGAAGCGGATTTCGCAGTGCCAGAGCGCGTCGCAAATCTTTACCGATGGATCCAAGGCCCGACAGGACCTGGATGCGCATTTGTTTGCGGGGATCACAATCGAGGCCTTTTCTTAATCAGGTGTCAGCTGTCGGGAATTTTATGTCATTTAAGCTTGCTGTAAGGGGGAAAGGCATTCATTCGGCTTCCGTTTTTTGGTATTGTGAGATAAAGGTTTTCACGCAGAGTTACGACTTCTTTCAGGAGCCGTCGTAATGATCTGTGATCATTGCGAATATTAATGATGGCTAAACAGTGATCATATTGACGGTACGGTAAGTTTGTTGTGTGCGAGGAGAGACCGTTATTAGTCAATACACCCGCTCGAAATCCCAACCCAGCCATATTTTACGCGCGCGACACGTCCATCCATATGTTGCGACGCGACAATTACATCCTCTGCGCGACACGTGGCAGGGAATGTTTTAGCGGCATCTTCATTCATTCGGGGGATTTAGCCCGAGCTTGGTAACTGGGAGTGCTCCCACCGCAAAAGCCGCTTCCAGTAAGTCGCGCTCTGTCTGTCTCGGTTGGGCCATACGAATGAAATGCACTCGTTTTTCACGACGCACCAGGGTGTGCTACTGTGTACGAGGCGTGGGCGCCGACTGTCTGTAGAACATGTCCTCGTGTCGTATCGACGCGGTGGAGCGGAAAGGTGGCAGTCTTATTTGCCAGCGGCCCTTCGACGGCTGGCTGGTCGTGAACCCCCGTTGCGAAATCGCAGATATGCTCGCATTTTGGGCACACATTGACTTCGCCATTATCTATACTCAACCCACAGTGTGAGAGATCAGGTGGAGCCGTTCAGTGATAGCTGACAACACATTAATAACATGACACTAAGCGCACATTATGATTATATGAATATTTTTATATGAAATATGATTGTTTTTGAGTCGTCGCAAAATGACCCTGACACCTGGCTCGACGCCCTGACGTCCTGCTGACGTGCCCCGTTGGCGTGCCTGGCTGGCGTGCCCGGCTGGCGTACTCAGCTGGTGTGCCCGGCTGGCGTGCCTGGCTGGCGTACTCAGCTGGTGTGCCCGGCTGGGGTGCCCGGCTGGCGTGACCGGCTGGGTACCCGGCTGACGCGCCCAGCCAGCGTGCTCGGGTGGTGGGGTGGCGGGCAGCGGTGGAGCGTCAGTAGAGCATGGCGCAGTGGTCGGCGGTATGCGGCCGGCGCACGCGGCCCGTTACAGGCACACCGCCCGCCGTGTATGTGGCTGGCCGCCGGCGCCGCCAGGGGACGCCCGCCGGTCAGGTGCTACACGCACCGCCCCGCGCCGTCACTGGCCTTGCTGGGGACCATAGACCCTCACTGGGGGCCATAGATCCTCGCTGGAGGCTACAAACCCTCACCGGTGACCATAAATCCTCACTGGGGACCATGTAGACCCTCACTGGGGACCATAGACCCTCACTGGGGACCATAGACCCTCACCGGTGACCATAGACCCTCACTGGGGACAATAGACCCTCACTGGGGACCATGTAGACCCTCACTAAGGAGCTGTTGATCAGATCTCGTGACCGGCAACGCTGGTTGAAAGGGGAATAACACCGCCCGTGGGATTTGTGACGGCCTTAAAAGATCGGTGCTCAACCCGCTTTACTGGATTAAACCGGCCAAGGCTCTGTCGCTGACGCTGCTCTTTTGCGCAGCTACGTAGTCAGCAAGCTTGTGGAATCTTTGTCGTAAGCATTCACATCAAAGAAACAATATGAGGCAAGCATACTGCAGCTAAAGGCCACACGAATACATCTGCCCGCTGTTTTACCGTACCTGGCAGTCACCGGCCCGCCCTGACATCGATTAATTTGACGTAATATATGACGACACCCGAGTTTTTCTGTACGTGACTAGGCAGAATCATCCGTGCCCACCTGCCCGGGGCAGCCGTGGTGCCGTAGCGCCAACATCTGGCGGAACACTTAGCGTCCATTAGCAGCGGCGCTGGTCTCCCGGTCCAGCGGCGCCGGGCGGAACGAGCGCCGACAGCGCGAGCTGACCGGCGGACGGGTGAGCGCGGGTCTGCGAGCACCTGACACCATGGCCGGCGCAAGGAGCGCGCGGCGACGGGACACACCCGCGCATCACACGCGCGAGTCACGGCTGTTGGACGGGCGGGCGCGGGGAGCGCGGGTCGCGCCGGACGCCCGAACTGGCGGGAATCCTGCGCGCTGTCGACCCGGAGCAGCAGGCCCCGAGGAGATTAGGGCTCAGGTCAGGGATGCGCCGACCTGCGGGCGAATGCCGGGAGCCTGCAGGGCACGGCACGCACAGGGGTCGGAGCCTGCCGTGTCACCCTGGACGCACGGGGCAAACGGTGGCATGGTGCAGGACTTGATGAGTACTGCTGCGGTCCATTTCTGACCGAAGCGAGACCCGAGCTTTTCAGCCACCTCGTCCAGCAGAGATCGGTATCAGCCCGGACAGCTGGCCACGTCGGTGGCAGATCATAACGGCAACTGGCAATGCTTGGGAACGTTACAGGGGCTTTCATAACGAAGTACACGGCCCAGACTGTTTTGCAGCCAGATTCCGCAGCATAATCTACTCGCATGATACCGTCTGGGTCAGGTGGTCCCGTTCCCCTAGCTGTATTCCGTCCTAAGCTGGTGCACGATGCAGTCAGAGCGGCTGGCCCGTCCTGGTCAGGAGGTGCCCGCCGCGATGCCGTGGCGCTGAGCCGACGGGCCGGCCCGGCCGGACTGGCGCGGATCGCCGCCTCAGCAACAGGGACGGCCCCGCCAGCTCGGGGCCCCGTCAGCTCCGGACCGGCGGCCCGGTAGAGTTCTGCGGCCTTGGGTTTGATCTAGATGAAGGACGACCCGACGTGCACGACGTGCACAAGACTGAAGCAGCATCCCTCGCTGACCACTTCGTGCGTTGTATCGGCTGCCGCTGCGGCGTGCTGGGCGCTGCGGCGTCCGCAGTGGCCAGCGGTCGCGTCTGCAGAAGAACAGGCTATACTTCTAGCGCAGCACGGCCGTCGGGCTCGTTCAGTTTGGGAGCGTCCATATGCAGCAGATGGAGCGCCGTCCAAGCGTGGCGAGGGTGACGCCGGCATGCGGGCTTCGGCTCGGTTATACGGCCGTTCAGCTCGGTGTGGGCGTTTAACGGGATGCGGCGGTGACCAAGTAAAACGTTACGAGCCGCCGCAGTCGAACAGCGGAGAAACCGTAACAGTGTGGACACCAGATCAACTGGCCGGCACGACGGCCCACGCTTCAGGGCTTGTCCCGGGTCCGGAGATCGTTAGCTGGCCGCCGCAACAGCGCAGGGCAAGCACAGGCTGCTGGTGGTCAGCTGGCCTCTGGCGGCGCGGCGCTGGTCCACGTCCTGCAGCCAATTGCGTGCGTGGTGCTGACCGGCACGCCGGTGTGAGACCAGCGGCTCGTCCCGATCGGCCGAGCCGGCCGTGCTGTGTACAGACGCCACGGCCGCGGGTCTCAGTCTGCACACGTCCGCAGGAGCGCACAGAGTCGCCGGGCCGGTGCGGCACCAGCAGCGAAAGTTCGTCGGCCCGCCGACAAGGTCGTTGTCTCCGGCCGCATGGCGAATCTCGGGGTGGGCGACAGATGGCGCCGGAGCCGGCTGCCGCTCGAGACGTCCGGTCGGCGGAGCGCGGCCGTCGCCTTGCCAAAGGCCGTGTACCGTCCTAAAGTAGCGGCCTATCCGAATTTGGGATAGGGGGGGGGGGGCAAAGACTTAACGAATGGTCACCCAAACTGATGGGCTCCCCTATTTCAGTACAGTCGCGCAGCCAGAGCCTTGGCGGGGGAGGGGCACAGGGTTGACAAAGAGCCCCGGATAGCAAAAGGCCACCCAAACAAAAAAAAAAAAACACCGATTATGGCCCATATGCCGATGAGGGCATGCTTTTTACATTCTTATTTTTGCGTTCTATAACTGGGATACAAACCAGAAACCAGCCCGGGGACCAATTTTCCCTCAATATCATAGTTAATCAACTGAAGGAATCATGCGTGCTACGACTGCCTGAAATAAATCACCGGTGCTCTTCGTTTTACAATGGTCCAGTGGCTTTTTATGAAGCGATAGAGCTTCAAAGCATTACCAAAATCTTATCTGGACTGTACGGATATG